TCGATTTGTAATGTACTTTTACATAGCGTACAATCGTGTTTAGAAAAAAATTTTTTACATAAATACTCTGATATGTAATAAACAGAATTTAACCGGTTGAATTCTTTGCATTCATTCTCAACGTAATCAACTTGAAAATTTATGTTGACGGTATCAAATCTGTTTCTGTATTTGTTTTAGAATTGCTCTCTTTACTAGCGATATTTTTGAGCGATGAAAGTTTAAGAAAAATATTATTTTTATCAATCTCGCGCAGTTTGTGAATTTCGAGATTTTTGACAGTTGTGTTAAATGGAGCAAAAACAGGCTCGTGTTAAATGGAGCAAAGAAATGCTCAAGAAACAACCGAGGTCGGTCAAATTTGATCTACAACATCGTTACTGGGGACGAAACATGGATCTATTCGTATAAGCTCAAAAGTAAATAACAATCCACTATTTGGGTATTTCAAAATGAACTGAAACCAACAAAAGTTGTTCGTTCACGCAGTGCTGCCAAGCAAATGATTGCTTGTTTCTTCGGTTATACTGGACATGTGGCAACCGTGGCTTTAGAGGATTGGAGGACTGTAAATACCGATTGGTATACAACAATTTGTTTGCCAGAAGTCATAAATGAATTGCGTAGGACAAGCCGAAATTATCGCATCATCCTTCATCATGACAACGCCAGCTGTCACACAGCACATCAAACCGTTGATTTTTTATCCAGTAAAAATGTCGAATTGATGACTTATTGTCCGTATTCACCTGATTTATCACCTAATTATTTCTTTTTGTTCTCAAAAAAAGATGCGTGGTGAGTGATTTGAGTCGCCTGAAGCAGCTGTTGAAACATTTCGTACACTGATTTCTGAGATTACAGCCTCAGAGTGGAAAAAAAGCTTCGAAAATTGATTCGAACGTACGCAAACATGTATCGATCTTAAAGGCGAATATTTCGAAAAACAATAAAGCCATTTACCGAATTTTACATGTTTTTTTTCATATTGTTTGCAAAAACTTTTCCAGCAGCCTACGTATTAATATATGTCGCATGCCATGTTCGAATTGACGCGAAGACGGATTCATATTGCAACCATGCTGTTGTCTGATGACCGCAAATAAATTTTCTAACGGATCTTGATTTAATCTTCGAGTACATAATTCATGAACGCTGTAATTTTGATCTAAATCCTCAAACAATTCCAATATTGCTCGAGCTGTCATGCGGAGTCCTTTTAAACATGGTGGTTGCTTTTTGGATTCAAACGTCGCTTTCTCTAAGTTCTGTATGGTTTTTAAAATAAACTCTCTCTATGTGGAGAAGTTCGCAAAATCGCGTAATTTAATTTATTAGGGAAAGTTTCCTTTTTAAGCGAAGAATTCAGCGTATCAAATAACATATCAACGTCTAAAACAAATTGCGATGTCCGATCATTTTTAGGAAACTTCTCGGGATACATAATTGTCATGTAAACAAGCATGGCTGTATGCACGGATTGTGAAAAGATTTGTGCAGCCAACCGAACATTCATTTTTGAAAAATGCGTTAATTTTATATGATCATCTGTTATTTTCAGAATCAAACTGAGCGGATACTGTTTCGATAAGTCGAAAATTTTGTTAATTGTTGCCCAGCGCACATAACCGTCTAGATATTTCAAGATTTTAGTCATTACATTATTTCGAAGCGATTTGATCAAGTACGGTGGATCAAAGATCAGGAAAATTTTATGCCCAAATCTTTTAAAATATGTTTTGTTTTCGGAAATATTAAATTTCTTAATCAATCCTTGATTTCGTGGCCCTTGATCGCAAATAATGCTTGTGACGATTAAATTTGCATCGAAAAGTTTATTGACTGTAGAGTCAATAATTTCGTGCGTTCTATCAGAATTGCCTACGCTGCTTAGGAACCAATATTCAACTACTTATTTCATAGTTCTATTGATCCAAGTGACCATCGCATACTGATGTTGCTACTTGCGGTTGCCTATTGGTTTCATCATCTGCAGCTCCACTAAATTGATCTTTATTTGGATCATAATGGATTTTAGAAGAGAGGCTGATTTCGTCGAATAAGACGAATACCACTCTATTCTTCAAAGGCCTATTCTTAAAAGTGTTACTGAATTCGTCAAAAACCATTTTATTCCATCCAGGATATATTGGAAATATCTTCTGATACTCTCGGAGACATCTCTCCGAGGGTAAAATTAATATCTTTTGTAATAATAGGTAGGTTTTCGGCGATTGGAAATATATAGACAAAACTATGTTTTTCAATTTGTCGGAGTACCGTCTATTATTTTTAGACCGTTTACTGAGCAATAATTGGGATGAAAATAGTATTTCGGCTGGCTTTGATAGAAGAGAAGAAGCACCATCTATTAATTCCCTGATTTTAGCTTTCCTATACGATTCTGACATTACGTTAGGTGTTCGTTTTAAATGGTTTACCTTACTTCGCAGAGCTAAGATAGTCCTTTTTTGTGTACGAAGGCGAAGAGACTTAGGAGTGAGTATGATCTTTGGAGAGGTTCTTGGGCAGGTACTCCTTCCTCTTTGATCGGCAATTAAAGGCAAGAGTGGCAATGAGGGATTATCTACAAAATATTTATTTACTTACCCTAGTGAAAATTTTTCTCAGAATTTTTCATATAATTTTTCAGAATTTCTATATAATTTTATAACTTTCTCACATTTTTTATACGAATTGGAACACTTCTCAGAAAATCTATATCTTTTCTCAGAATTTTTCATATATGTACTTATAAAATATCGTAAGATTTCTAAGATTTTTTGTAAGTATAATTTCTGATGAAATGTTATAAAATCTAAAACATTTAAAAA